AAGACAGTATTCCAGTGCATTCATATCCCCTAAGTTGTTTATCTGCTCCCCAGTTTGTAAACATCCCCTTTGTTTCTTAGTTCTTTACCACTACAAAAATAGCGACTGTAAATATTTTTGTCCCTATGAGTCCTTTTCCTCTTTGATTTCTTTGGGATATAAAGAGGGCCTATACTTTTCTAATTTCCCCATGCTTCCCTCTCAACTATACTAAGGGTCAGTTTTCCACCCTTTTCACCTCTTGTCCAAGCAAAATGACCCACATCTTTGAATTAGAAAGATTTAAGAAGATTCAGCTGGTTTGTGCCCTTTCTTTATAAATTAAATACCTGAGCCCCACTAATATTCATCATTGTGACTACTTTAAAAAAAATGAGTAGTGAAGAAAAATATTGTAAATTCTTATGTGAACTTTAAATCAATTGATTCTATTTTACAAAGATATATAGTAAAATGCTATCATAAAATTCCATGCCTAAATTCTCATCTTTCTCACTTCTTAGTTTCCCTGGCTTCTTTCAAGGACCCACTCAAATCCCACCTTCTTAAAGAGGCTTTTCTGAGTCTTCATTCTACCTTCCTATGTACCTAGTTGTCTTTTCCATTAAAATGTGAACACCTTTAAGGGCAGGGACCATTTTTACCTTTCCCAAACACTTAGCACAGTCCTTGGCATCTTATAAAATGCTTAATAAATGTTTGTCATCTGACTAATGTCACTGTGTTTAAGGAACAGCTTAATACTCCAGTTTGGCTAAAACAGATTATCTGTGTGAGAGGAAGTAATATGAGATAAGGTTGGAAAATTTAGTTGGCACCAGATTGTGGAAGGCCTTGAATGCCACATATTGTCAGGCCTTCTCTGTACAAAGCTTGAGAAGAAGAGGAAAATCACTTTCCTTGAAGCAGTTTTCCTACTGGAGAAATAAAATTTTTCAGTGTAACCAGTACTTGACAAGCAGTGCCAGAAATCAATCTCCAGATGCTGAAAACCCTAGAACTTTCAGCCTCCTCTGTAAATCAGCTGTCGGGATGAACTTTTATGCATCTTCATTTAGCTAACTCCACTGCCCAGTAGTAATTATAGTTTGAGTCAGATTTCTATAACAGAATTTCAAAGTCCTCACACTCTGACAAAAACCAAGCCCCTCCCCCACCACTAGGGAAATTAGCTGTTTCCATCCCGGGCTGACATCTCCAATCCATCCCCTGAGCCTTTAACAAGGTGCACAGAATTATACAGTAAGCTAGTTCCTTCTCCAGTCTAACACCCCCTTCCCACCCCTCTTTGTTTCTCCCACCTACACCTTTAGCTTGATCTGTGTTCTACGTAATAGCTCAATATCAGTTTTTCCTTGAATCTCCAAAAACCCATGAGTGTTTTTTTTCCTTCTATGGAAAAGAGAGATAAGAAACTACCCTTCCTTCCTCATCCCCTCCCTAGAATAACATTGGAAAGAGAATACAGTGTCACACTTCCATTCTCGAATGGAGAATAATGTGACATGATCAGACCTATGCTGTACATACCATCTTAGTCCCCTGACACATTGTGGCCAACAATATGCACTTGTGAATGTATCACCTAGATAAAGGATGCTGTGTGTAGCTGCAGGGCACAGATTTTCTGTGTGCATTACTAAGTGGGCTAAATGTTACTGAGCCCCAAACCTTGCCTGCTTAGCTCTACAGTATAGACATATTGTATCTAGCCAGAGCTTTTTTGCTCTGGACCTATGATTTCATCAGTTTGGTGAACTCTAAATGTGTAAAATCTCCCCATCTATGCAGATGAGTAATGTGTTTGTAATTTATTGTCTTAGGTAGTTGCCTAGGGCACTAAGAAATCAAGTGGATTGCCCATGGTCACTGAGTTAATTGTGCCATGTTGATTACTTGAAATCTGCTCTTCCCAACTCCAAGGCTGGCCGTCTGTCTGAGACACCTTTCAGTGCTGTGACTAATGATGAGTAACTCAGTGAGTAAGGGTGTAAATATATTTTCAGATATCATATTTTATAATAATAATAATAAAACTGTTAGTTGATATTTAAATAGTGTCTATGTGCCAGGCACTGTGCTAAGCACTTTACAGTTATCTTACTTGATCCCCACAACACTCCTGGGAGGTAGGGATATTATTATCCTCGTTTTCCATGAGGAAACTGAGACAAACAGAGGTTAAGTGATTTGTCCAGGGTCACATAGCTAGTGAATGTCTGAGGTCAGATTTTAACTTAGTTCTTCCTGACTCCAGGCCTGCTGCTCTATGGCACTACCTAATTATCCATTGCATTACCTAACTCCTCGATGCAGGGTTTTAAATGCCTGCTCATGAAGTATCTTTGTGTGGTTTTGAACCTCAGTTTCCTCATCTCTGAAATGGAATAATAGTATGTGAACTACCTGCCTAACAGTATCATTATGAAGAAAGTACTTCATAATCCAAACCTGGTACAAATATTAACTATTGTCTTTGTGACTGGGTAAATTTCCTAGGTCATGTTACCCTGGATGCATGTATTTGTTATGGGTTTACCGGGTAGAGCTAAGGATGAGAAGGTTCCAGTTCATCAGCGTTTGAGCTAGGCAGTATAGCTCATAGAACATTTTTTGCTTGTAGCCACACGCTGCCTCCCTTATCCAGCCTATGGACTCACAAGTGTGCATTGTTGCTCAATGGTAGGGGGCTGTGTAAAGCCTATGTCTGATCACATCATTTGCTTCCTATTTCCTGTTGTTCTGTGGCTTCCTATCTTAAGGATATCCTCTGTTTATCCATTTACAATCTGACTCTAGGCCACCCATTCAGATTTATCTCCTTTTACTCTCTCGTAATCTATATTCCTGACTAAATGGCCTACTTGGAATACCCTGTTTGGAACATTCCCTGTCACTGGTTGTCCCCTGCCTAGAATGTTCTCTCTTCTTACTTCTGCTTCTTTGATCTCTTCTTACCCCGGAGGCTGAATTCCAACACTGTTTCCTATAATAGACTTTGCCTGGTCCCTGTACCCAGTATGTGCTCCCCCCCAAAAAAATTACTTTGCATTTAGTTTTTCTTTAATTTGTATTTACTTATATGTGTATATGCTGTTTATCCCCAGTAGAATGTAAGCTTCTTGAGGAAAGGCCTTTTTTTATCTTTGTATTCTCAGTGCCTGGCACATAGTAGGCCCTTACTAAGTACTTGAATTGGAGTTCAATGAAGCTCAATCCCAGTAATAGTATTGAAGAAAAAGCAACTCAAAATTCAGGTCCTTCCTACCAGAGATGACTCATTTACATCATCTTTGAACCTGAACAAAAATATTGTGTTAAAAGGAACATATTGAGAGAGGAACAGAATTTTGTAAATAAAAGCCAAATACATCCTCCAGATCATTGTACAGAAACGTCCTGTAGAAAAGATGCATGCGTGTGCATGTGTCTTCTGTTGCAAATCTTGACTGCAGTCACCCTGAGCAGATTCTAATCTGCCAGCACTGTTTCTTCCTGTATTTTCATTTGACATTTAGGAGCTAGTTAATTATTTTTGGTTGTCTCTGTTTGCCCTGTTCAGAATTTCTTTGCTCAGTACTGTCTCCCATTTAAAAAATACTTCATAAATTTCAATGAGCCCTAAGGAGTTCATAAAGCAGCTTTCCAATCAAGCTCTGGGTTTAATGCTCAGTTTTTTTTCCAATAGAACACTATGCTTTCACCATAGATTACAACCAAATTAAATATATCTCTAGCTAATTTCTTTATTGAAATAATTTCATCTTACTTGTTACAATTTGAAATCAGCTGCATCTCTAAGCCTATACTTTTTTGTCAGTTTCTGTAACTTTGAGGTTGGTAGTTGATCATTTGTTTACCACATGAAGTATTTGATGTTGCCATTATTATCATTATTGCTTATCATCAACATTATTAATAGGAACAGGAAAGATTAAAATTTCTTAGCAGGATGTTTGGAAAATGTTTAGAAGGTAAAAATCTTTTTTTTAATAAAAAAAAAAGAAAAGGTTTTTGATAGTGAAGGTAGTGTGAACCCCAGAGCTGGAAATAGAATTTCAGTGTCCTATTCGTAATTCTCTTCATTTATACATGTATAGCTTCTTTAGTTCTCTGTGTTACAGATAATGAATGCAGAAAATATCACGTAACAAAGGAGTCAGGAGGTTCAGTTAAAGACCTCAAAATCTTAGTAAGCCAAGGATTGTCACTTGTTTTGATATGATATGGAATAATAATAGAGAGAATGCAGTATCACACATCTAGCCTCCAGTAGATACTTTTAGGATAATGTGAAGATAAACAATGGCTAGTAATGTACATTGTTAAATCTTGTTTCTCCTTTTGCATTAACTGCCTGGAACAAAGCTCAGCTTTTACCATTGTTTGCTATCATCTTTTATTTTTTCTGTCTTCCCATTCTTCCTTGAGGAAGAACATGATTATCCTACATAACCCAGACTGTAAGGCACTGTCTCTCTCTAGCCTTGGCAGGATCTTGGGGTTGATAACTCATTAAGATTTCTTGCTAGCATTGTGGAGTAGCTCTGCAAACAGATGCTGGGCCCTTCTCCTTTCAGAGGAAGCACCCCGTTTTTGTTTTGAATCCTCCATAAATAGTATATAATAGACACTTAATAAATGCCTATGGAAGTAAAATGGAGCTCAGTGCAGACCAGTCTGTAATGTCATTAAAAGAAAAATACCCAAAATAGCAACTCAGTGGATCTTGAGAGCATGAAGGTATGGAGAGCTCTGACTTTATGTGGCTCTCACTGGATTTGAGCCTATCGGACTTGCTTCACTGTCTGATCATTTGCTAAAACAGATGCCTCTTCATGTACTCTCATTGCCTCATATATTCATATGAAGCCAAACTGGTCAAAACGATGAGGAGAGACATGAAACAGGATGCCATGTTTCTTTGTTTCTTTGTTTGATTTTTAAATGTATGCACCAAGTGAAATTGTCCATGTTTTTATCATTTTCCTTTCTTTCAGTGCCTTCCCCTAGTCAAGATAACCACATGAGCATGGATCTCCCTCCAGGGTCAGAACAGATCATGCAGACTCTGAGTGAATTGGCCAAATCTTTCCAGGAGATGGCTGACCGCTGCCTGCTGGTTCTGCATTTGGAAGTCAGGTGCGGCTTTGGGCAAGAGTTCTTGCCAATTTGAATACATTAGGAGTCATATCTCACTTGCTTTCTAAGGGAGCATTTTATGGGTCCTTTTAGATGTTTTAATAAAAATGTTCATTTTACAGCCTGCAAGTGAACAACAAAGTCTGTCTTCAAATTGTGCTTACATATATGCAAGGCACTGTGCAGAACAGTATTCGCAATGTACAGAATAAGACTTTCCCCTACAACATGCTTGGAAAGAGAAAACTCTTATATGAGCAAAGTTAAACAACAATATGAAATGATGGCACAGGAGATTCCATAAGGCTGTCCATGAGTAATTATCAAACAGATAATAGAGGATTATGAATTCTAAGGAATGAGATATTAATGCTGACCTGATTAGGCCTTCTTCATGGAGGAGAAAGGATTTTAACTATATGATATTTGTGATCATATAGGATCATAGGATTGTAGAGTTTTAGACCTTGAGGGATCCTTAGATATCATCTGGGCCAACCCCATCATTTTGCAGATAAAGAAACAGAAATCCACACAGGTGAAATAGTTAGTAGCAGAGACAATATTCAAACCCAGATCCTTTGCCCCCAAATTCATTGCCCTTTCCGCTAGACCACAGCTCATCTTCCTCCTGGTCCATTGCTTAGCCCACCCAACAACATTCTTCTCTGTTATCTATCCATTTCACCATTTTAGAGGATACATTAGATCATCATGCTTAGTCTTTTTTTTTTCAGTCCAGATGTTGATTTCATCAGTTTAGGGAACTCCCAGGTAGGAACATCTCTTTATCCACGTGGATCTGCAACTGCTCTAGAACTCCAGCCTGTAAAAAGCTGCCTGGAACGTTGAGAGAGGTCCACTGGCTCACTCTCCCAGCATCACAGTCAGCACCTGTCAGAGGCAGCACTTAGACCCACATTGACCTGATTCTACAGCCATCCCAGTATTCACTACACCATGCTGCTTCATGGCCTACTTTTGTTTCCTTAATGTCTCTACCCCTAGTCTGCTTTTTTTGTTGTTTATTTTATCTATAAGTATGATATTATAAGTGTTTCAAGATGGTGTGGCCAGAAACGTAGTACTAGATTCAAGTCTTTTCAGCTTTTGGAATGCACAATAGTGTAATCGGATATGGATGCAGAATCAGGGAGTCTTCATGAAGAAGGGGCTACCTAACTTATGTTTCCCAAGGCACTGGGCCTTCACTGCTCGTGAGTGCTTTCAGATACTGGATGGGCAAAAGATGGGCAAACAAAAGAATCAATCCAGATTGCTCTTGAATATACTCTTTTTTCATCCTCTCCAGTAGTATAATAGAGGGGTCAAAGTAGCAGACTGCGAGTCTGCAACCCTAGGTGACGTGTCAGTTCTGACTGCTATTAACTCTATGACTACTTTACCCCCTTGGGTTCCATATCTGTAAAATGGGCAAGTATGGATACATGTGCTAACATCTACAAATTTGTGAGAAAAGTGTTGTATCAGCTCTAAAGTGTTAGAGCAATCTGCGTTGTTAGCAGCAGCAGCAGCAGCGAGCAGTATGACTTGTCTATTTGAGCTTTTCAGAAACAGTGACATTTCCTGTCTTATTGTTTTATACCAATTTTGAAATTTTTTTCTATTAGTTTGTAAGATAGCAAATATATCCCCTGCTTCTATGAATAGATCAAATGGAACAAGCTCTTGAGGAAAAATATCTAATAACTTTGTGATGTGCCAAATTGCAGATTTGCAGAGCGAAGCAAATAGAACACCGAACTAATTACTATCAAAATCCACAGAACTCAGGTTATTGATTGTGTAAGTGTGCAATACTTTTTAAAGCCAGAACTATCTATGTCATGTAGCTAATTCCCAAGAGAAATTTTAAACACATTGAGGTAGGTCATTAACTCCTCTATGTCTGTTCCTCCCCTTCATTTCTGCACATTCTGACAATAATAATCATAACATTAGACGCCATTCCATCTAAGGCTTGTTTGGGATGCTGTTAGGGGCACTTAGAGCTGGAGGAAAGGGAATTAGAGTGTGGCCACATAAGAATATTTTGAACTCGAAAATCTGGAAAGGGATTTCTCCCTTTCTTCATCTGTCACTGGGCAAGACACTGAATGTCACTATCCCTTAGTTCTCCCTGCCCAACTTTGAGAGATCACAAGATTTCCCAAAGCTTTAGTAGCAGTTGGAGCAGAGGACCAAGAATCTGAAGACCTGGGTTTCTCTTTCTGTTTGCCACTAACTCATGATGATCATATGCATGTCACTTAAATTATTTTTGCTCCATGTTCCCAATCTGCAAAATTGGGGCAATAATGTCAATGCCATACAAGTCAATGGGATATAATGAATATTAAAATGCATTGAAAAGTAAAGTTGAAAGATAAGATCCAGTTATTATTATTATTATTGTTATTATTATTATTATTATTATTATTATCTATTTGTTCTAATAACTTGAAGAAATATCCTCTCTTTGAGAAATTCTTAGAGTTTTCTCTCCACTGTATTGTTTGAAAGGAGTGAAGATGTTTTGAAGCCCTTAGGTACTATGTGATTTTTTTTAATCATAAGAGACACAACTCAGGGAACCCTATAGCTGTCTTTTAACATTTGAAGGGCTGTCACATGGAAAAGGGAATTATATTTGTTGCCATAGGACAGCCTCAGGTCCAGTGAATGGGATTTGCATGGAGGCAGATTTTTGGCTTGATACAATAAAAATTTATTCATAAGTGATAACTGAAACAAAGTAGAGTGGGCTATCCCAACAGACAGTGTCAGCAGAAGCCAGACAACCTCTCCTCTGAGACATAGAGGATATCTGTTGGGCTATGAATTGAACAAGCTGGTTTCTGAATTCTGTGGTGCCTCCAGGGTTCCATCGAGCAACAATCTTAACAGAAGGGGTTTTGCAGTTTCATACTCATGCCCTTCCATGGCTTTCCGGAACCACTGTTGATGTTGGGCCTGAATCTTATGATTGCAGGAGGTTTACCAAAATCCTATCCAGAGAAATTCTAGAATATGCAAATACAGGGTAATATTACTGGGCTGTGAATGTCTTTTTTAAGTTTAAAAATAAAAAGTATTATAAAGAACCTTAGAATGAGAAATGGTTCATTATTTTTAGTGAAAATACCATTGTTTCCAATATATTAAGAAAAGCTTTCAAAGAAGAAGAAATTTAAAATGGAGTACATTCAATGTTGATTCATTAAGGTAAGGATTTTAAAATATTGATGTTATTATGTTCAGCAAGTGTTATTAATGAGAATTTAGTGAGTAGATTCCACTGTGTTGTGTTGCTTCATCTGTAGATCCTGGTACCATATATAAAAGATCTAATACATTTTATGCTGCTGTGCTGAAGAAGAGAGAGCATATGGTAGTCTGCCTGTCACGTGCGTCAATGATGTCAACTTTGGCTCATGGTTGAAAATTTAGTGTTACCACCATTACCACCATCTCTTTGAAGCCCAGGTGGAAGTCTGTGTTCCAGTGGGGAAGGGTGCTGGACCTCAAGTCAGAGGACTTGGGTTCCTGCTACCTTATTAACTATGTAACTTTGGGTAAATTACTTAAACTCTATATACTTAAGTTTCCTCACCCATAGAAGAGAGGGTTAGAACAGATTACTTCTAAGATCCAATCCAGATCTAAAGCTATGGTGCTAAGTGGGAGAAAAAAAGATAAATTAAAGAAACCAAAGACAGCATTAAGGGAGTCAGGGGTAATACTGGGGACCTGAAAAAGCTAATAAAAATTCCAAAATGGCACTAGAGATGGAGTTAAACATTGATCAGAGCTTAAAGTGCCAGGAAGGGAGGGCAGAGAAACACCATCTGCCATATATGATACTGTCAAAACGTTGAAGGCTAAAGAACCTAATTTTAACTCTAGTCGGTGCCATCGTTGTTGGATGACACAATATGTTTTTTATAATAGAACTTTAGAATTTAAGAACTGAAAGTGACATTAAGAGTTCATGTAATCCAACTCCATCACTTTGTAGATGAGGAAAGAAAGCCTAGAGGAATGGAGTGAGACACCCATGGGCATCATAGTAATTTGGAATTATAAAGGGTTTTAAGGTTTGCAAACTATTTTACTTATAACAATCTCATGAGAGAACTATCATCTCCATTTTAAAGACAAAGAAACTGAGATCAGAGAATAGACATGACTTAGCCATGGTCACATAGCCAGTATGTGTCAAAGCTAAGATTTGAATCCAGGTCTCTTGGATTTTGAGCCTTCACTCAACACTCTTACTACATACTGCTCTATTTTGTTGACTTTTAAAGGTAGTTTCCAAGGAAGAATTAGCAGATTTAATGAAATATCTAGCACAGTTCTCGGCACCTAAGTAGGTATTTGATTAATAATTGATTTGTTGGCTTTTCAGTGAATAATTAGAAGTCATCTGGTTTGAACTGAGACCCAAATAAAATTCAACATGGACCACTTTTTGAGATTCAAAAGAAGTAAATTGCATTTGGAACTGCTGGTTTTATATTAGTACTCATAAGGTAGACACAGAAGTCTAGAGAGACTGAGAGCACACCTGGCCATGATAATAAATATTTACTGTGTGCCTCTCATTTGCTGAATATGTTACAAAGAGCCTAGACTGCATATGGGGTCTGTCCTCCAGGAATGGATACTCCAGTGAAGTATCTCAAATTATTCTGACTTTTTACCTTTATCCAAGAAGCAGCCATGATTTAAAAAAAATTTTTTTGAAAGGCAAATAAATAGACAACACACCAGGAATTTAGAAAAACTTCAAATGCCAAAAAATTTAGTCTTGTTCTGAATAATTTTATACTAGTGGTCCTCATTATTCTTTAGCATTATTAAAGTTCAAGCCAGAAAGCCTTAGCAAAAGCCAACAGGTTCTAATGAGTTGGAGGACCCAGCTGAAAAACATTTGACATTTTACCTGAGAAATCATAGGTTGTATTTAATCACAGGGAGGTCCCTTTTCCACAGTTTAGGGGGAAAGGGAAATGACGCCCTAATTATTAAAAATTATAGAAGGATTAAAAATTGTCAAGGTTTCCTCCCAGTTGAACTCCAGAGGAAAAATATAAACTTGCCCTTTGAGTCTGGATGCCGAGAATGTCATCTCTATCAGCCGTTTTCTTTCACCATCAGGAGGGCTTGAAGTGGGGGCAACAGCAACTGCCCGTAGCTGGTGCAACCTAAGTGTGCGCTTTCTGAAAATCAACCCTCATACTGTGCAATCATCAGCGTTTTCAGAAAACCTTAATGCCAAAGTCATGTTGAGGTCAGCAGCAGCTTGCCTATGTTAGAAAATAGCACAGGATTTTCCTTGTGAAGTTGACACTTCTTTGTGGCCGTATTCATGCCCTTTTACAAGACTAATCACTTGGGGACCAGCCGATACCCAAAAATACCACGTAATTTTCTTCAGGGAAATGAAAGACCTTTCGCCATGATGTTCACAGCTTTTCACCTGTTTGTAAAGAACTAAGTTGTGTTTTTGGCCAAAAAATAAATGGTATTGGTTTGAGGGGATTTTAATTTTTGGTGTTTTGTTTTTAAGTCATACAAAATTTATCAAGCTTCACCCTTTTCAAAGTGGTTAGGTATTTAAAAGTGGCAAAGAAACCATTATATTCATTGAAATCTGTCATTAGCAACTTACCTGTTTTCTTGTTCTTTTTTTTTTAGAGTTCACTGTTTTCACTATCTCATCCCTCTGGCAAAGCAAGGGAATTACGCCATTGTCGCTAATGTGGAAAGTATGGATTATGATCCTCTGGTGGTTCGGCTTAATAAAGACATAAGTGGTATTGAAGAGGCCATGAGTGCCAGTCTGCAGCAGCACAAGTTTCAGTATATCTTTGAAGGTCAGATCTTTGCCCATGTGATTGGGAGGAGGAAGGATAGAATTTGTACGCATTTCTATCTGCCTTAAATTTGAAACTATTGGGGAAAGCATTTTTTTTTACATGTTAAGAGATGCAAATTGTGTGTGTGTGTGTGTGGCTAAGGTAGACCAAAGTATGGTTACCATCTGTTCCTGATTGATAAGGAGATTTAATCAAACATAGGGGCAGATGGCAGTCCTGCTGCCTCCATCCCATGCTGCTCATAAGGTCTGGGTACAGGTGGGGAATGGGCCCTGACTCAATTCATACAAAATTGAAGGGAAAAAAAGAGAGGAATCCTGAAAGATTCCTCATCAATAGTATCATTGATTATAAAAACCATCATTCCACCATGACTGCCATCTTCTCAGAGTGTGTCTTCTGAAAAGAGCGTATGCCTCTGATTAACAAGGTTCCCTCAGAGCATTAAGGTGCATTTCCTTTAGTCCTATGTTGGTTAATGTGGAGTGTGCCGTGTGTGGAGCCTGGTGGTGAGAGCTGCTAGCTTTTGCCTTAGAATGTAGCTAATTTCCATGAAATTAGGTTTACAAAGGAATGTGATCACCTGAAGATGGGAAAAAGTAGCAATGCATGGCTACGCCTCTTGTTTTGAACTTTATGTCTTCTAACAAAATTTGACTTTAAAGTGATTCTTGTTTTCCCTTTGACTTTGTTCCCATGGGAACAGATAAGTAGGTTAGGTAGAAAACTTAGTGGTGAGAGGCTGAATATGGTAGCCAGCTCTATAGTAGATTGCCAGTCCTGGTCTAGTTAGAGGTGTTATGACTGGTGGGACTTAGAGTCCTCCCCATACGCTTCATTTTTCCTTCACCACACCTTACTCAAGAATGTCCTCTCTGCTGTTGGCTACTGTTCTATACTTTCTTCTTTTGAAAACTTGGTTCCAATTCCAGAATCCATATTCATAGCTCTCAGAACTTTGTTCTCCTTTTCCCCCTAATCTGGACCATCACTGCTGTACTGCAGTAGCATACTTGTTGAGATGGATGGTTCCCATCCTGTGACACATACTGTGCTCTTAAATTCTCCAAGTTTGAGATTTCATTCTATGTAAAATAAACTAGGCCTGTGCTATTCAGTAGTTCAAAATTCATTACAAGTTCAGCTGGAAGAGGTGAATAGCATCAGTGTCTTTGTCTGCACTCATTTCAGATACCTTGTCGTCTATCTAGAATGCTAACTGCTAAGTTTTCTATCTCTTCTTCTATATTTTAGAAGGGAAAAATAGCCTCAAGAAATGGCTCACCCACATGAAACTTCATGTTATTCACATCATATTATTCTTCTACCACTGAATTATACATAATATCCAGTCAATCTGAGCTATTGATTGTTAGAGCCCATGTATTGATTCTTTATATGTCAGAATAAGCCAGACTCAGATCTGCTGAGTCTCCCACCAGAAGTCACACGGACACTGTGCCATCTACATGCCTCCAGATTTTCTTATTCTATTTTAGCCACTGTGTTCAACCTATCAATTTACTGCTTCTAGTAATAAATATACTTACTATACTAGTAATAAATATATGCACTGAAAGGGTCAAGAATACAAGAAGAACGAATGCCAGTCATCCAACTCTAGCATGTTCCTATTGGAACTTTAGTTATGGTCCTAGTCATCCAGTGAAGGGGCCCTTGTATCTCTCTCTCACACATCTGCTTTCAACAGTTTATTTTCTGACAGTATGAGAAAGGGGGAGCCCACCCCAATCATTATATCACAATGTTATCTCACATCCTGCCTAATTCCACATATCAGCTGGTCAGCAGCCTAGGCAAAGGAGCAGAGGCTCAAATTCAATTTGACATCTCGCAAGATGTTCTCTGAGCCCTTGGCATGGCAGCATTGGGGCAATAGGCAAGGCCAAAATAAGAGAAGAGTCAGACGTTGCATTCTGTGCAGCTTTCCTCCCTTTCTAACTCCTTGGGTCGTACACAGTTTCCAAATGGATGACAAAACCACCTGGAAAGATGCTGATTTCTCTGCCACCATTTCAGTTTAAGGAAGACTTAAAGCTGCTAAATCAAGAGCTAGAAGGGACCTCAGAAGCCATCTGGTCCAACCCCTCATTTTACAGTTGAAGAAACTGAGGCCCAGGGAAGTTAAATGCCTTGCCTGAGGTCATTCATATAGGTAGTAACGCATCCATTCAAATGTATCCGATATGGCTGTCGGGTTGAAGAACTGTCTTGCCCCCTCTGGGTCTCATCTACCACCCCTCCTTTGTTCCAACAGGTTTGGGCCACTTGATTTCCTGCATCTTGATCAATGGGGCCCAGTACTTCAGGCGTATCAGTGAGTCTGGCATCAAGAAAATGTGTAGGAACATCTTTGTGCTTCAGCAGAACTTGACCAACATCACCATGTCACGAGAGGCAGACCTGGACTTTGCAAGGTACGGGGAAAGTTTGGGGTCACATCCACATAGTGCATGGGGAACTTGGGATCTCATGAACAAGCCCATGCACTTGTAAAGAGCCTGAGGTCCTAGAACACAAGTGTTGTTTCTTTTTCCATCTCTTCCTGTAGAGCTACATCCGAGTACAACTGTGCCCATTTGGAGAGTAATGGAAGAACAAGCATGTCCTGCCACTGGTAGACAAGCCCTTGTTGGATGAGACCCAAGATTTCAGTGGTACAGGGAACTCCTCCTAGGGAAACGCCCTCCACTGATGCGGATGAACACTAGTTCTGCAATCTATGATCTTAGAGAGTTATTTGGGTGCATTGAGAAGTTAAAAATAATGTCAGCAACAATGATAATAATAACTAGTATTTATAGGTTGCCTACTATGTACCAGGCACTGTGCTGAGTGCTTTACAAAGATTATCTCGTTTGAGCTTTACAACAACCCTGGGACTTAGGTGCTATTATTATCCCCATTTTACAGGGAAGAAACAGACAACAGAAGTTAAGTGACTTGTCCAAAGTCTCAATGCTAGTAAAGTGTCTGAGGTAGGATTTGAACTCAAATCTTCCTGACTTCAAACCCAGTGCTCTGTCCACTGTGCCACCCAGCTGCCTAGAATCATACAGTCAGTATATGTGAGAGGCAGCATTTGAACCCAGGTCTTCCTGACTCAGTCCAGCACTGCATCTGCTGTGCCACACTGCCTGTCAGTAGATAAGCAAACATATTATATCCCTACGCACATTTAAAAAAAAAAAGCAGATGAATCTTCAAGCTCCATCACTAACAGCCAATGTCTGACAATACTCATGGTCAAGAAATCAACCTTTATTCCTAATCTCTCTGACTCTCATTTAACAAGGTGCTTTTACTTTTGTATCTTTTAATTTGACTTTTTGCTTCCTAGAGAAGCTCGGCAAAGATAGAAAATTCTTGGAGTGGCATTTAAAGAGATAAATAAATGTCACATCATGTGGAAAGTTATTGTAACGTTTGGTTTTTATTACATGATCCTGTTGAGCCTATTCTCTTCCTCCCTGTCCTCCTTTGTCTTTGTATATTTCTCCCTATTTCTGTGTGTGTGTCATAAACTGAATTAGATGGAAAGCCTTCCTTTCTCAGATTAGGAAAACCAGGTGTGACTGAATGTTGCATTTATTTGGCCTCTCTTATGGGGAATGATCTCATTATTGAATTAGTCTGTTCATAATAACATTGACAAGGGGAAGTTAAGAACATAGAGGCCTGAGGGACACTGAGAAGCATTACTAATTCTCTGTGGAATATGATTCCTAAATTCAATCATCCCTTTTTAAATTATTTTTTTTTCTTTAGCTGAAATGTTAAGTAAATTAGCATGGTTTTTGGCAGACAGTGTGGGGCCTGAACATGTGCTACAAGCAACTGGCATCTGAGTTAATGAAATGCTGACTGAGCAGTATTTAGTTTCTGAGGTTGGCATCAGTGGACCATCCACTGGGGAAGCATTGCTTCAAGCAGTCATTGAATGGCGACGGAGTTTTGCCTTTCCCAGATGTCTTGCGTCTTCCCTGCCTGGGCCAGTTCTCACCTAGCTTCTTCTGGTATCTTCTCTGATCAGATAGATTGGGAAAGAAAATACGTTGGCATAAACATATAGAAGCACAATGGGTAAGCAAGCTGATGTCAAAGATCGTTTCAGGCTTTGACATAGTGTAGACCTTGGTGACACAACCCTTCTCTGGAAAGGAAGAGTAACTCATGTATCATCCTACACAGACTTTGATTTGATTGATAAGTTCTTCTCCAAAAAGGTGCCAGATCAGTTCAGGATCTTAACCGTTAGATCCTGGGTTAGTGAAGGGGGAGTCAGCCTTAGAATTATGGAAACTTGAGTTCAAGTTCAGTCTCTTCATGCATACCAACTGTGTGACCCTGGGCAAAATCTGAGTGCCTCAGGCAACACTGCAAACTCTGGAGTTCAGGCCATTTACTTGTGTGCACTGTCAGTTCCACAGGAGCAGAAATCTGATCTCATGCCTGCCTTTCTGGCTGTGTGACCCTTAATCTCTATTTACCTCCATCTTCTCATCTATAAAAGAAAAATAATATTATCTGCCTTAGAGTTGTGAGGACCAAATGAGACCATGTATTTAAAAGTCAGTTGCAACATAAACAGTATATACAGATGTAAGGGATGATGAGGATTTTGAGCCAGTCAAATCAAGGCTTATTTGGTAGTAGATTATGACAGATTTTATCTTTAGTACCTTGAAGATGCTAAACAAGGGCCTAAGAAAGGCTTTAAAAGCCCCTGAGGTGGGCAGTTTCTAACTTGACTGAAGATGAAGAATCTCCTATGGAATTTCTGCTTACCTATACTATAACAAAGAAAAATATACATACATACATACACACACATGTATATGTATATGTGTATATGTCTACATACACATGCATACATATATAATATGTATGTGTACATATACACGTAGACACACAGTGTGTGTGTGTGTGTGTGTGTGTGTGTGCCTGAATGTGTTTAGTTCCCATACATGGGTTTCTTTTCATCTTTGCTTCCCTCTGCATCCCTCAATCACTGACACATGCCTTCTACAGCCTTATGTGTTCCCTGCTTTGCTGTTCCTGAGAGGGGCAGGTTCTGTGAAATGTGTCCCATTAGTTCTACTGAATTTCAAACTGTGTTAGATAACCCTAACAGCAATACCCAAATAGCCAAGAATAGAATGTTCGGAGTGTGGCTCAGCATTCCTTACACAGTGGCTAGTCAAGCGGGGACAGCATCTGTATTTCCTCTGACTCTCTATAGGAATGTTATCTTCAAGCATAGTAATTAATCATTGGTTTGCCATGTGTCAGAAAACTTAGTTCACAAGAAGTTGCAAAACTCTCATAGTTTCCCATTTTTGTTGTTGTTGTTTTAGCCCCATGACCTTGGCCAATGAGAAGGGAAAGCCTTTTCTATTACAGCTGGGGTTGGGGTTTGGGGGAACCAAGGGACAGAGGACAAGAAGGAGATGGGACAAGATTTTGTATCATCTCATTTATGCTAGGACTATCAAGCTAATTTCTACGATGATTAACATTCTGCTGTGGATACCTTGAGAATTTTTACAGCGTTTGTGACTGTGATAGATAGGTATTACTCATTTTGAGTTGGTTGTTTCATTCTTTGCATACCGATGCCATAATTTAAACTGTGAACAGGAAGATAAACCTCAGGTGAACAAAGGATTCGAAGCACCTTGCAACATTACTGGAATAATAGTGCAACCCTCCCTGTCTTCTATGGTAAGGATCACTTAAGCCGTGACATGGGTTTGACTTCTTTGACCCTGCTGTTGATTTTCACACTCAGAAGGATAGTTTGTCCTGGGAAATCACTGTAGATTAACTAGAAAGCCAAAGGATGTCATCAGTCTGCTTTGTAATTCCTTTCATCGGACACTAGGTTAGCCTGCACTCTGATGTGATTTTCTAAATGTAATTCACAGAAGTATTGACAGGACCCGCACGTTCAATATTCTTGTATTATACTGGAGATGTCCATGCTGGACTTCAAGCCCCCGTATATATCGTATGGTAATATTTAACAAAGTACTGTGACTGCCAGATTTTTAGACAAAGGTCGTATTCAAGATAAGTAGCCTAGAATTTCCTCTCCATCCACTGCCACATGTTTGCCACTTCACGTAACTGAATTCCCTCCATACTATAGTTAAATTTCCTCATTCTTGTTTCTCCCCAGTTGTCTGTCCCCACTGCTTTCTTCTCCCAAGTCAACTCTGCAGAGGTCATGTGGTCTAATGGAAAGAGAAGAGATTTGAAGTCAGAAACCCTGGATTTATATTCTGGCTGTACTTCTTACCATCTTTGTGACCTTGGGCCAGTCACTTAAACCTCCAGGGTTTATAAAAATAAAGAGATTGCCCCAGGTGATATCAATAAAAGATACTACATTCCCATCCATCTGTCATTGGGCTATATGCCTTTTCTCTTCAGCCTAGCGTTTATCACATTATTGCAAGTAAAGATGTGGGCGCTAGAAATTCTGAGCTGATCAAGGAGAACAGTACCAATTTATGATAAAACCTTCCTGATGACTTGGAGGGGAAAATGTTTTACTGATTTTTTTTTTAGTAATGTTATCCCTTCCAAATACTCCCATCAGCTCCCCATAGAAACTTGTCTTTTGACAATGAAGTGCCATTTAAACAAAACGGATACACTGACCATGCCTTTCAGCATATGCCTCATTCCTTACCTATAGTATACCACCTCCCTATTGAGAAGAGGGGCATGTGTTTCATCCTAAGTCCTCTGGCATCAAAACTGATCATTGCATTGATCTGAATTCTGATGTCTTTTAGTGTTTTTCTCCTCCATGTTTATTGAAGTGTACATATATACCTTAATATAGAGGTGTATATATGTATATGTACACACACATGTTTCTCTTGATTCTGATTACTTCATTTTGTTTCAGTTCACTCAGAAATTCCCAAGTCTCTCTAAATGAGAGGAAAATATTTCAAGATCCTTTATTGTTGCATTTCCTTTTCTTCCATATATACTTTAAATGAAGTGGCACTTTATGGAGATGTGTCAGTGGGAATCTCAATTTCACATCTACATTAGAGTCTGAGTGGAAGGTGGATAAGAGATAAATATGCAGTTAGACTAAGGAGGTTTTCAAAGTATGAGCTGCAAAATGCTAAATTTGCAGTGTCGCCCTTCAAACTGAATAGGCTTTCTGGGTTGGACGGAAGCTATTGTGTCTCTTACAACACAGACCTTTATAGTATGCTTCTCCCAGACATAATCTCCTTTGTTTTCATGTATATGTCCAGTGAATCTCTTGAATTTTTATTATTCCAGAAGTGAAATAAGCCTTTGATTTTACTTTTAATTAGTAAACAACCTCACTTCTTGTATTATCAAAGTCTACTTTAAGAGATAGCCAATTGAATTTGATACCTGGGAA